AATGCACTGCAGATGTCAAGTAATTTGTGCATATAAATTGATTTTGAGAAGAAAAAACTTACACAACCTAGAAAAAAAAATAATCTGTATTTAGCTAAACATTTGGCTTTCCACAACAAATTAAAATCTTGGGTATAAAGTTTACAGAGCAGAATGTGTCAGTGTGAAGCACTGAAACAAAAAATGTGAGAACTAAGTCTGAAAAGAAAATTGACTATGTCAGCTTTAATTGCTGACATATTATCAATACTGATAAAGTGAACTTCTAGTTTTAAAACAGAGCATGTGGCATCTCAAGGGGAAAAAATATTACCTGTGGAAATTATGGGCTTCTTGACTACTGTTAACTTCTTTAGCATAGTAAATAAAACCATTACCAAATACTTACATAAGGTTTGTCTTTCATTTGCACTATAAATCACAAGTGAGAGATTAAAGTCTCTCCTAAGCTATTTCATATTCTCAGAAAGAACAATTAAAATAAAAAAAACAAAAACCAAAAGATGCTACTATACATTTACTGGTAGTAACGATAACCAACATGCTTATCATAAAAAACAAAGGTTCACTTCACAGATCTAAGAACACAACCCAGACAAAAGTATAAAGGACAGCCAGTGTTGTAATTCGATTAGCCTCAGGGATTTACAAACCAAGTTTCATCTTCAGTCTCAATTTGACATTTAAAAGAATGCTTAAAGCAGTTTGGTTTTGCAACTGCCACTTTTAGAGTGCTTTTCCATAGAGACTTCTAGCCTGCTTCACACACTTTCTGAAGTACTAACAGCTGGAAGACCAGGTTCTATAAATAACAATTTTTGTAAGCTAAACAGTTAAATCTCAAGAACAATTCTAGTCATACTGGGTTTTAGTTTTAGCTCTTCACTGAAATGAAGACATCATTTCTCTCTCAACCAGCACGAACACTAGACTACTTTTACTGAATACCACTTACTAACAATAAATAGTTTCCTACGAATATGGAAGAAGAGAAGAAAAGACCCCAAGTGTATTTCATTTTCTGTTCTTTTTAGGAAGGCTAAGGAAGTCAGGAAACTAGACAGGAAATATACAGGGCTGATCATTGCTGCTTAAATATGTAATCTGGTAGACAGCATCAACACACATTGTAACAGAACATTCAGATCCAAATGCTTTCAAGTACAACATGCTCTAAACCAGATGAATGTAATGTAAACTTTTCATGTAGTTTTACATATTCGTTGGATTTCAAAAATAAAGGGCTTTTTGTTTGATATATAGTCAAACTGTCCTTCTCTGTTTCTAGCAATTGCTTTTGACGTGACTGGCTAGTTTCACCCAAACCTGGCAGAAAAAAAGTAGGTTTTGGTCACAGCTGTGTGCAGGGAGGGGGGAAAAGGGACACTGCTACATAGTGCCCCATGGAGCAAAAAGCTTCAGTGACTGTTCAGTCATCAGTGTGGCTGCCAGGTGGCCTGTCAGTAGACCAGAAGCGATCCAAACCTTGTGCTGCCTCTTACCCTGGCATCGTTTAAAGAGCCTGGGACGGAACAAGGCTTACTGGTAAGTTGGGTGGAAGAAGGGATCAAAAAAGGAAATCAGGCTTCGTATTTCACTTTTCGAGAAACAACTTATGTTTTACTAATGTCAATACATATGAAAAAATAAAAAACCCTTCGTGTTTCTTTGTACTTTGCAAACTAAAAAATTCTAAAACCATTAAGTCAAGCAAAAATTGACACTTTCACTTGCTTCATTCAGTGGCTAAGATGGTGCCATTCAATGAATATGTTTAATACTTTTTTTTCCTCATTTCAAAAGATGGATTAAGGTTTCATTTACTACACATTATTTAAATTTTACACCGAGGATGGCAAGCGTTACTTTCCAATGAGCATTTATACACTGTTTATGGACACAGTATGAGTGCTTTTCAACGGTAACAACCCTACCCTCACAGCATCCTCACAACTAACAGCTCTGTTATTCCCATTTTACAAACTGAAAATAGAGGTACAGGAAGGTTACTGAACGATGACCATCAGTTTCAAGGCAGTTAAGGTCAGTTCTTCTCCAAATACTTCATACCATATAGAGCTACTTGGGTTTAAAAGAGCTCCCTTTGAGCCCAGTAGAAGCTATGAATGTTAATCACTTGTGCACATCAAACTTGATATCCTCACACCATGAACACACAATTAAAAACAGCTAGAGAGGTTATTATGCCAACAGAAAGAACTATGTTAAACTCACTTGAACTCCAGCATAACATCATAGCACAGGGTTTCCCCAAATTTAATCCTATTTGAACCCATTTCCTTCTTAGGAAAAGGAAAAAAAAAAAGCCCATTTAAAAATACTCAGTGACAAGAAGCTATTTATGTTTAGTAATACATTCCAATGATTAATTAATCCAGTAAGAACACATCCCTTATTTGAAGTCTGAACTTGCTTAATTCAGCTTCCAACCACAGCGCTGCGGTATACCTTTGTCAGCTGAAGAGAAGGTTGCTTTTATCAAATATCTCTTCCTCAAGCAGGTACATATTGACTAATGAAGAAACCCTTAACATTTCCTTAGCTAAGCTAAACAAAGTAACCACCTTATGTCTTACTAAGTCTGCTCTCCCCTTCTACCAGTCATTTTCAAGGCTATTCTCTGGAATCCTCCCTGGACTGTTAACACCAGATGTACTCCTCCAGTAACAGTTATAGCCAAATAGCTAAGACACAGCCTCCTTATTTCCGATTCCCTTGCTCAACTACTCAAAGTTTTTCACCAGACCTTTTAGCTACACCCAAAAGGACTGGCTTCAAGTTCAACTCCTACCAGCCATCAACTCCAAATCTTTTTCCAGCATCTCAGACTGAGTCCCCCTACATGTTGCCCAACCCAGTATTTAGTTGCACTGATTCTGCCATGAAATAAGTGTAAGGCATTGTTTCATGTGTCCCATTTATTAGTGATCTAAATCACTTTGCAACCTTGTTAATGTTCCTTTAGTCCCAAATTTATATTTATGATTTTCTAGGTAAGTAAAAACATCTGAAATAATTCCAACAGTTATTTACAATGAGAACCTTTGATACTCTGTAACCTCAAGTAGCAGAGGTTAATGCAATGTATGCAACCACAGACTTATTTCTAGTATGCGCCAACACCTGAAGGTGCATAACATACTCTGATGTTGGATTTTGCATGTTACTCACACACATCCTTGTCTAGGGATCCATGTTTGCAAGAACACAAATCTCTAGCCAAGGCCCTCCTAGAATTCTTAACTAACAGGAGTTATTACAGTTTATTTTGTAACATAAAATTTAACAAAGCCTTACAATACTCCAGAAACCACCCACTAGCAATGTGTGTTAAAGATGCCAATAAATGAAAATACGGTCGGATTTCCTTTTAATAAATCGATAAACCTAACCAATAGGTGTTTTAGAAATATACAAGCTTTCAATTTGTGTATTTACATATAACTACGTGGATCTTTAAAAATTATATTTAAAGAGTAAGATATCTCATGGATCAATTCAAAAAGACAGAGCTGTGACGAGAGCACAAGTTCCTGTCCAAAACTCCTTACTGAAGCGTTCACAGTGAGAAACAGGAAATGACCAGCATACCAGGTATCACAAACGTCTCAAAGCAGACATGTTAGCTTTAACATAATGGAAGCCTTTAAGCACTTGAGCTTTATTTTCTTCTTACACAGGATGAATTAGCATCATAATCTTAGGCTACTTCATATTGTCCAACTCTACGACTTCTGTGAATATCATGACTGTCCCTCTGACTGTAAGCAGGGCAGCAGCCTGAGCTGTCAGAGGCTCCAACCCAGCTCAGCTTCACCATTTTAATGAAGGTGGAGGGAGAAGCAGAGGGGGTCTAAAGGAGAAAATAAAGAAATAGAGAAAAATAGTATCTTCCCATAAAACATCTCCTCTTTTTCAAAGGACTGCATAATATTTTCCCAAAATATGAGAGCGTACATACTCAAACACAATTCTTTCCTGACTTTTTAAAGCACTATAAACACTATTGGGTGCACTAACTAGGATGCTATTTTTCGTACCTGAACTTCAAAGGCAGGTTTTAATCTTCTTCACCAAAAGTCTTTAGAAATTCCACAGCAGAAGGAAATGCATTCCTCTTAAGTCAGCCAGTTCCACACCTCTGACGTGTCTATTTCTGGTATGGTAGTTGCTGTGACGTCAGAAGCATGAGAGGGAAAAGGCCTCACCAGTCTTACTCAAGTTCTTGCCACAGTTTCTCTCTTACACTGGAGTGAAGAGTACGTTACCCATACTAGGAAATACTTCTAAGAGTTAGGTCTCAATGACATCTTTGGAGTTGATATGATCCTCCGTGGATCATACAATGAAGGAACACACACACACATTTATGCATCTTACATCTTCTAAAGCACTTTTCGAATCTTTGCACACAGTCCCTGTACTAAGTGTCCATGTCTTCCTTTGTATTTTATGTCCACAGACAAGGATTTGCTGAGCTATTACCTTCCTTTCTGCATTAATTAGCATATATAACCAGTCACAAAAGGAATTTACATTGCCCCACAGCATAAAACCTTTTGAGATTCTATAAACTTAAGTATAAGGGACAGAGGCAGAAAAAGATCTTCACCTAGTCAGAGTACGCACTAGTTAGAGCAAGTATTGCATTAGAAGGGAACCATCAGGGTAAGCAGTATTTAAAGGCAACAAAATAAAATATAAATTTAAGGAAAAAAAAAAGAAAACAAAGCACTGAAACACAGCTGAAGAATCTTGTAAACCCTTATTTGAAGTCCTAAGTAACAAAAAAATTTTAAAAAGCCAAGCAAAACCACCAAGCAGAACAGTTACTATTCCGCCATTCTCCAGCTGGTACATGCTTGAAGATTCCTGCTAGAAGCTTTTTCTGGTTTTCGTCTTCCTGATGTTTTCATTCTTCTCATATTTTATTACTTGATACTGTAAGGCAAAAACTTAAGAAAGGAGGAAGAACTTACTGGTATTGAGAACTCCTCCGCCAAATACTTCAACACTGATGCTCCTCTAGCCAAAAAGTTACTTCTCTCTGCCAGGTTGCCTTGGAGTTTTGTGTCAAACTCCTTTCTGACAACTGAGGCAACAGAGTCAATTATTATGAGTTTAACTTTCTTTGAAATAATTTCTTCTTCCAAAGACATAATCCTAAAAAAGAAAAAACAACAAAACCCCTGTCATTTATAACATTATTTACACAATAGAACCATTTTTTAACCTTGAAATCGCTTAAATAAAAAGTTTACTTTAATAAGCTGAAAGTCAGCCCCTCTTTCTCCCCTTCACACACCACCTCCACTAACATCCGCATGTATTGAAGAGATTTGGAAAGGAATCTGAGGCTCCAGTGGGCCACATAACCCGAGGCAGGACATCTCCAAAAGAGAGGCTTGGAAGTATCTCTAGATAGCAACGCTATGCTGTACAACCCCTGAAAGGCAGACAGCAAGTCAAGTGGACATTGAAACTGTGCCCTTCTGCTCACAGTAGCAAGGTCCCATTGTCAACACCAGAATCCTTGGTATCTATTGATGCAGAAGGTCAAATACCTTTCTGTATGTCTCCAAGGATAGTATGCCAAACCTAATCCATTGATAATATGCTACCAGCTGTTCTCTGATAAAGCTGCACTAGAAAAAGAAACTATCCTTAGAATAATTCTCCCACTAACATAAAATACACAAGATGATGCTAAAATATATATAATATATATATAATTGTGAAATGCATTCACAAATTATCATAAGGTAACATGAAAATATAGCACCACCAACAATGACATTTGGGCTGATCACTGTTAAACAATTCCTCCCTCCCACTGCTGCAGGGGTCTCAGCCTTCCTGGAAGTAGCCTGTGCTTTGGAGAAGCAACCTCCTATTTCATGGAAAACGTAACTCTCATACTATGGTCTCTCCACTATCCAATCTAAGACCTGTCACATGAACACTCTCCTTTAAAGGCTTACAGAGATCAGATCATATAGAAATTGTCTATCAGAAATTAGAAAATGTCAACTGAATAAGTCACATGCTATGAAATGCAAAAAGCAATGTCAGTCCTTCTGTAGCAATTTTACTTTGTTGGAGACCATGCTGTCATCAACACGCAAAGGCCTAAAATAAATAAATTAGTCTTCATAAAACTTTGACATAAAACAAATATTGTTATAGACAATCCAGCCAAAATGGTCTTTTTTTTAAATTCTGAAAAAGAATACCTCTTCAGTACACTGCCACAGGTCAACTCTCGATACAGGTGAATGCTACGGGTCATGCAGAACAGCTTTTCATCTGAGTCAAAATAAGCAGGGAATCTGTTTCCTGCTATCTCAATCAACCTATCAAAAAAACCAGAAGGCATAACACTGCAAAAGGAATAATGTGGGATAATAAGGCATCAAGTATTCACAAAGCAAACAAAGCAAACCTCTGAATGATAAGCAAATACCAAGTAATACCGGAAATCTTCTTCAACGGAGAAGCATACTTTAGCAGTCAGACTGAAATACTGAAAGTCAGAACATACAGGTTTTCTTTCCCAGTGACACTAGAGTCAGTGGTAACACCAGGGAGAGACATAATATGCCTGTATGCAAAGAAACACCATATCTCCTGTAGAAACAAACTGCAAAGTTTATAGTTACTGAATGCAAAATTCTTTGAGTTTTGTACAAAGGTTCCACTCAATGGGCAAGCATTCTCATATTTTAATTATTATATCTAAATATTATTTTCATTTAAACAAATGTACTCTCCAATTCAAACCATCTTCCCTTCCACCTTTACCTTGCAGTGAAATCATAAAACAGACCTTGCATCATCACAGAAATTTAACAAGCTGGTAACAAATAGCAGATCCATTACAAGATTCAGCCAACAGGGAAGAAGGACTGCAAAGAACAGAGCCCAGTTCAACTACAAGTACTCATACAAGCAGTACATGTATGGAAAGTATACCTGCCAAAGTGAAAATCTTTTCACAGATAATCTCTCCTTAAAAACAAGAACAAGGTCATCTGGATGGGAGACTTTTTCACTGAAAACATTTCCATTGTGCCAGTTACCTCTTTGTAAAAAGGGCTTATAAAATCTTAACGTACTTTTTTGAGCACAGCAAAAAAAACCCAAACACCCAAACATAGCATTGTGTCACAAAGTGACTGAGGCTCCAGCTGCCAGGTGGCTACAACAGAACATCCACCTGTTCAGACAGCACAGGTACAACTGGCATGACTTGATATAATGAAATGACTAAACAGTTGAAGTGGCTGGTTCACTGACAGAACTGGACATGGGATTCCATGATAAAATGTTCTCCATTACCTTATTAGCAAATTCATGACCCTTCAAAACCTTGAATTACAATTGTTAAGCATGCCACTGTTTATTATCAGAGTAGACTGAGGAAGGGTATCAGATAACTGCTGATAACACCAAAAGGACTCAGAGGAAGTTGGATATTTATTATATGTTATCAAAATACTTTCATATTTATTCAGAAATGGTGCTGTAAAAAAACCTCTCGCACAGATGTAAAGCTTAACAATTTACTGATGAGAGGCCAACTTTTTCTGTTAAATGAGATTTTATACATAAAATCATTGAGGACACTCAATGGTATACATTTCAGAAATGCTGACTCTTTGGAAGTCAGCAGAAAGAAGTTCCACCCCTCTGAACACACGGCAATTTTATCTAGGTCCTTAAATAAGTGATCCAAGAATTTAACTTAGAAACTCACAGTTACCATCCGAGCACTGTAAATTTTTTTCCACAATGAAGATTTCATTTTGTGATAACAGAAAATACTTAAATGTTTGTATTTTAAACAGGCACATCCCACCGCCTACAGCTTGAGAAGAGTGGCATCTAGTGGATGATACCTGTGGGCACAATTTACTGGTTATCTCGATGCTTTTTATTTAGGTCTTTTTCATTAAAACCCACAATGTTACAGCTATTTTACAAAAATTCTTTTAAATCAGTTTTATTTCATTTCAAAATAGAAACACTAAGCTTGAATGTTAATATATCTATCCTAAGCAAACAATTTCCTTACAATAGCCCAAATCTTATTCATTAGGTACATTACTTACTACACCTAAACTTGTCCTACAGAACTTCCAGGGACAGAATGTGGTCTTTCCATTTGCACCACTGATCATGCAGACCATTTGGGCAACCGTGATCTGTCATTCAATGGTCCACACGAAATGAGATTCCAGTATGCTTCCTAACGGACATGCATGTCGCAAAGAACATCATTACACAAACTGACTTAAAATGACATGCTAAAAGCTCCACAGAGCTCCACGTAGGTTAAAAGTTCTTTATGATCTAAATCCTATTTGTCATGATGAGACCAAAAACTGCACAGAACATGTTCTCTGCAACCAGGGAAGAGGCCCACAGGGTGGAAAATCCATTTGTTCTCAGCTTCTGTTCACAGAAATTTGTATCTGTTGTTTTTCACAAGCAATAAGTACAGCTAGAGAGAAAAGCAAACAAAAATTATTTTCAGACTTTCCAAATAAGTCTGGTATGTTTTCAGCTAATAGCTGGCTAGACTTGAATGTAATTGCTACAAAACTGAGGACAACAATGTTGATTTCCAGACTTACTACAGCCATTCCATCTACCTGTTCTAGTGTCCGTGTTCTGACAAAGCTGAATGACAGACACCACCTGCACTGTTACAGTCTTACACAAGAGAAAAATATATAAATTACAGAAACTAAGAGCATATCTTAGAAGGCCAGCCTGAATCCTGATCGCTCTTCTCAGCACTGCTATTAGATTGAACTAAATTGTCACGTTAGAGAACAAGTAACAAGAGTACACTGGTTTGCAGAAGGAAAAAGCTCCCTGCCCTGAACCAAGACCTGGCCAGGCAGAATGACAAAAGCGAAGTGCTTTTCAGCGAAAGAAATAAAATTAGCCAGCTTATGCCCTCTCCAGAAGCAATACAACATTACAGCCAGTATGACAGCTACAACTTAGCAGCTCTCAGCCCTAAAAAGCAGCAGGGATACAAACATTCTTCTCAGGCCTTCTGTAGAGACTTTTGAGTTTTAAACCAGCTAAATCTCCCCGTTAACCCCTTTAAAATAAGTTGCTATTAAATGAATATTTACCCTCTTACCTGAAGTGTTTAGAACAACAAAAACAAAATTTCTTCTACTTGCTATCTATTAATAATACAGGATTACAGAATCATAAGAAAATTCATGTTGGCAAGAGAACTCGGGAGATCTCCAGGCCAACATCCTGTTCAAAGTAGTGCCAGCTATGAAGTCAGAACAACTTGAGGCTTTATCTAGTTGTATTTTAGAAGCCTCCAAGCATGCAGGCAGCACAACCTCTCCGTGCAACCTTTTCCAATTCCTGACTGTCCTTACAGTGAAAAAGCTTCTCCAGGTATCAGCACAGAAATGGATTTCAATATATGCCTGCTGACTCCCTACCATGCATTCCCGACAGCCTCCTCACTTGCAGGGGAAGGCTGCTGTTAGAACCCCCCAAAGCCTTCTCTCCTCTAGACTGAGCAAGCCCTCAGTCTCTCCACAAAGGGCAAGTGCTCTGGCCCCCAACTATCTTGGTAGTCCGCTGCAGAACTCCCTGCCGTTTGTCATGTCTTTCTCATATGGAGAGCCCAAAACTGGATGCAGGATCTAGATGTAGTCTAACAGATACCAAGCACAAGGGGATAAGCACTGCCCTCACTCTGCTAGTGCTGCTCCTCAAAGGTGGCAACACAGAAAGTGTAAGATACAGCTTGTCCGCTGAAATTGTGTATAGCTATAATTTCCAACTGAGCAATACTAAACATGATTTAATACATAAATATTCTCATCCTTAGTAATAATGTTATTTTCATCACGTTTCCTTTCTACATCCTACCCTATTTTCAGCAGTTTCATCTTCACATTCACCTGTTTTCTTTAGCATTCACTTCTAAGCAAGAAGTCTTCATTAACCTGTTAGGTCCTACCCTTTTTTACTATCTACATTGCAGGCATGTAAAATCAAAATTAAGTGGCACGCAAGAATGGAGCACATACATTGCAGAGCCATTGCTTGAAGCTTTTTGTCTTTGATATATTACGCTTCCGGTTTAAAGTAATTAAAACTTTTGTGAAACTAACTTGACAAAAACAGGATCAGAAACCCCACCTTCTCATCCATGATAATTTCATACAATTAAACGATGCAAATACACTTGCTTTGATACTCCAGATTCAGGTTATAGGTGTAACAACTAAGTCTTCTGAAACATCTAAATTATTTCAATGAACCTTTTTCTGCCCATTTTTCTACACGAACAGGATGAGACTACTGCACTTCTTGTCCTCCCCTAGACCCTTAATAACTTTTGAACTCACTGATTCCAAACAACAGTGACAAAGGAATAGACATCTCAAAGCCTTCAAATCCTCATTGTTTAGAAAAGCTGGTAGCTAAGTAAATTAGAGCTATCTTTAATGAAATACTGGAGAATTATTTCAACAGTTCATCAGACAGTGAGCGTGGGAAGAGTGGCAACCAACACGTGCATACACCTGCAACTCTCAAGCAGACACAGCATATAGTGTCACCTGTCCATTCAGCAGTTAGAAGGCATCGTGAGTGCATAGCTGAGCAGTTCCAGTCACATGGGCAAAGTAGGAGATATTAGAAGAACCAGGTATGTTATACAGGTAATAGAATATAGCACTGCATTGTCACTAAGGACATAGCAGAGATGCAAGGTTACTGTAGAAGGAAGTCGGAAGTGCAGAAGGGCAGGGGGCCCCACTCAGCAGAAATAGGATAGAAATCTGAAGGAAAACTGGCTATGTCAGTCCTACTGTTGACAGAAAAACTTCCATCTCCTTTGCACTCAAAATCTACATCCCCAAAACCTTCCTGCTAACTCCACAAACTAAACTGCAAATATAGATTTCAGGTACAGGACTGTTAAGACCATTTATAAATTGGAGTATGCGCCATCCACCTCCTCGTACCACAAGCAGAATCTGCAAAATCATACAAATTAGGAGGATAAGCAAACCATTCGATTAAATTAATTTCACCATCTATGGAATAACTGCATATATCAGATGAATGCTTAATAACTATCATAGGCATTTACTTCATAAATGCTTAATTATTGCTCAGAAAATAATTGAAGGCTTCAAGATAAAAGGTGCTAAAGAAGCTGCAAGTGTGTATTTTAGAATTTTGCCTCTTACCTTTCAGCACTGAATGCTGACTCGGTGTCAATGTATATAACAGCCCCATCTAGTCCTCCCATGCTTACAGGCAGTGTAGCCAGAACACTCACCATAACACAAAATTGAGTTTTGCCACAACCTGGTGGGCTAGTTATCTGGAAGAAAAAAGATTAGTAACATAAACAAGAGATGTCACATTCATTTCACCCTAATTCTACTTTTAATTAAGACTCATCAGCCAGAACTCCTCAAATTCTGCTCTTCCAGCTACCAAAGGAGGAGACAGCCACAAAAAGATTGAATGCAGCCCAATAAGAGCAACTTGCAGTTACTCTTGGATCTGTGTCTTGCAGTCAAACTCACCCACTGAAGAATAAACAGCTCTTCTTCAGACACAGCATTATGTTTGTACTTTATTTCTTTGACATCCTTTACCACCTCTTGTATTTGAGGTCCCCTACTCTCCCCCTCCTCCTACAAGATCTTCCTTCCCTAGAGCCACACCCAGTTCTCTTCCATCTCCTTCTCTGTGCTACCTTCTGAAACAGAGCACAACTGGAAGATTCACAGTTGCCACCAACATGAAATCAGTGGCCTTCAGAGCTGAACAAAGTCCAGAATTAATGAGTTCACAGATGTCAATGACTGCTTAGGAATCAGTATTACCTTGGTTACAACCAGGTCTCCCTTGGAAATCACAAGGATAATCACTTCTAACCTGTGAAGACTGAATGTTCAATATGAACCACATACATACATAAGAGAGATTTTATCTGTCCCAGAGACTACACGCTGCTATGAAGCATGTGTTTTGTCATTGGTGTTAACTCCCTACTACCATATTTCAACATGAGCACCATTTAATGATCCAGACCAGCTTGCCAATTTTAAGCATCCACCTGCGCTTACTGGAAGCCTGCTGTGGTTAAGCAGTACTCAAAAAGAGCACACTCGACTTGCATGAAATGGTTCCAGTATGATTTTGATCCAAGAGAAAAATCACAAGGATCAAAAGAATACATTGTTTGCTGAGATCTCCAGTTTCTGAGAGAAAGATTTTTCTACTAGAGGTGGCAATATGCGGTTCTTTATCCACTGCAGATCTTGCAGAAATTGTAAATGAATGCTGGGCTCTGTATTCAGATAATCATATGTTCACTACTACTATAGCGGTTCTCTAAATACATTATCACATTGTCACTGCTTACGGGAAGGGAGATGATGACATCTTGAATACTAAGAGGGCAGAAAAACAGCAAATACAAAGTTGAATTGACTTTAGACACTATAAACAGAGTGATGGGTTCATACTGGTGCTAGTAGGGTCTAAATAATAATGCAGGATAAAAGTAAGCCTCTCCAGTGAAGCTAAACTGCAAAATGAAGCATACGTCCTCAAAACACCTCGTACTGCCAAAGCAAAGGCTTAAATACAGATCTGTTGTTTTAAATTAAAAAAGAAACCTTACAACATTCAAAATCAAACTGATTTTTGAGCCTAAATGCTCAACAGTTTGTTTTTAAGTACAAACATCCTTTCACCACCAGATACTACGCTATTCCTATGACATCGTTTCAAGCAGCAGCGTGACTTGAAGCACAGAAAATTTATAGGGAAACACTGAGGGACTGCATTAGCTACAGTTACACATTAGCTACCGTCAACAGTTGGTTAAAATCCCCTTAATCACTTTTGTCTTTAAACAAGGCCTGAAAACCAAACCATATCAGTCAATCTACTTGAAGCTGGAATGCAAGCGAAGCATTAGCTTATTTTTATTTAGAAGCACACACTGCGTTCAGTGAATTACAGATCAGGAATCAGTCATATTTATGCAATTATCTGTGTTCCATCCAGCGTACTTAAATTACAAAATATCGTATCAACCATAGCTGCCACCTTCTGATGTGAACTCAAAGCATATAAAAAAAATTGCAGAGGCAATACACATTCCTTAGGTCGTGATAGCCAAGGAATCTCACCAGCTGTTTCTAGTTAAAAAGATGACTTGAAATGAATGAGGGGAGGGCATCAATCCAGTTTTCGAATTAAAATGTTTGGACAACTGTGAGGAGACCTCATAAGAACGTTTGTAGTTTCAGCCTTGCCCGAGAGGTGCACTGGAATCAACATTTCTTTCAGTGGCTCACGCAGGAGCTAATTCAGCAGAGATTCTGTAAAAATGTCTGAGAATACAAGTATCATAGCAAAGAAAGTCTGGGAATCTTGCAGGACAAGGTAGTACAAAGAAGCAAGCCAACGGAGCAAGAAAGAATTTCTATGCCCAAAGGAAACAATACTTCATCTTCTATCAGCATTCCTTTAAAGGACATTAAAATGGAATTTTAAATAATCCACAGTGAACAATTTTTTAAAACTACCACATTTTATTATAGTTACCACTCATTCAGCAAGTGTTTTGAACAACACAATCTTAGTTAAAAAAACTAAAATTCCTCCAATATAATTTAAATCAAATGTCTGCAAAAAGTTTGCTTAGTTTGTTTTACTCTAAATTTGCTCTGAAAAAAAATCCAAGTCCACCCAGACAGAAATGTGAAGACTACAACAGTTTTTAATTTCTCTCTGTCTAATAAAATATACTTGTATTTTTTAATCAGCTATATATTATTTTCTCTGCAACATTTGTAGGGTTTGGATGAAGTCACAAGGAGCTAATTCTTCTTCAGCTACCAGGGGATTGAACTCCTCAACATTCACAAAGTCATTACTTTAATTTTTCCTCAGAGGAGTTGGTCAAAAGCTCTGACATCTGACCACAAAATTTCAGCTACGATTTAATTTCCAACTTAAAATCTAATAGTGGTTTGGGAAAAAATGGCCTGAGACAGTGTAACGCAAATCAAATCCCTCTGGCACTCAAAAAGCAAGCAGCTTTGGCTGCAGAAGATACCACCACAAGTCTTAACCCTGTGGCTCATGTACTCAAATTCCAAGTTTCCAACCACCCTCACTGCTGGGTAAAGCAACAGGAAGATGACAATTTAGCCACACCAGTAAGGAAGTAAATGCTGCACACAACATACTTTTGAAGAGAACTTCTCAGACTTAGAAAATCTGCCTAATAACAAAAAACACCAAAGGGCAACCTGTTGGTCAGCTATGCCCCAGTAAATTGCAAAAGAGCAAATTAAAATTAAGTCCCAAAATGACTTGAATCCAAAAAGAACATGACCTGAAAGTGTTCGCAAACTCAACTACAACATCAAAGCAGCAGCAGCAGACACTTGATAACTTTCTACTAGAATTTCATCTAATAATCATACTGAAGAACACTTGCAGTGCTGCCAGCCTTTGAAACTAATTCAGATCTCATGACTCTTGCAAAAATGCTTTTAAAAATCTCCAGAACCAGGCTTTAAATGAGAAACACAGTTTGTGCAGAGTTAATTGCTCTCTGCCTTTATGTTTGGTGAGAAACCCCCAATATGTGCTTTCCACATTTAGTCCCTAAAAGGCAAATAAAAAGCAATACTTTTTCATTTTTTTTATACAAACTGAACTGTTTTTTAGATACAAAATGAACTTTTGGTAAGTTAGTCATCTGATTTCTGGAGTCTACCTAGTTCTCTCTATAATATTTCTGATGAAATATTTATTATGCATCAGTACTGTTAATCTGGCATGAGGGTGCAACCACGACCAAGCTACTGGTGGAAGGACGGACTACTTCCAGTTCTGATCTCACCCACCAGGCATCTTGTACAGACTTTTAACATCTCAGTCGCTCAATGAGATTACCCATCCTTCACATTCAGAAATTTTTTCAGAAGAAAACTTAAAGTGCAACACCCTTCCTGGTGAAGTGCTTTTCATTTACATACATATAAAAGTTCAGCCTATCTTTTAATATATTCATTTCCCCCAACTACCTTTAAATACATTGATATATACGGAATATGACTGTTCTTAAAATAGAGTTTAGCAACAGTTTCACAGATTTTCTCATATCTGAAGAGATAAATGTTTTAAGGAAACGCTGAAAAAAAAAAATTTGAGTATTGTGATAATCAACCAAACTGAGAAGTATTACCAAACACACAGATCTGGAAAATTAAGCATTTGCAGTTACTTCCAGAAGGGCATTATTTTATACCATCTCAGGAAACAATATGTGACATCCATGTTTTGAGATCAACTGCTTGCAGGACTGACTTTCAAACAAACAAACAAACAAAAATTAAAAACAAACCCCAACACAAAACTTTGAGGTCAAAGGTTAGCTAAACTCTCACTGCTACTCATACGAACAGGTCTTTCTTCTTCAGTGAAACAGAATTTAGCAAGTCTTCTCTCCCAGAATTTAAAGACTTGCAGTATTCATCTTAAGTTTTCCCGATGCGATTTTCTTAAAGTAAACTGGTAACAAAGCTAGGCCTAAATATGAAGAAAATATTAATTCTGACAGATCAATGTAAGGCCTGTAGCTAGTGGTGTTCCCCAGGGGTCAGTACTGGGCCCAGTCTTGTTCAGCTTATTGATCAGTGACCTGGATGAAGGGACAGAGCGTACCCTCAGCAAGTTTGCTGATAACACAAAACTGGGCGGAGTGGCTGATACACAGCAAGGCTGTGCTGCTGCTCAGTGAGACCTGGACAGGCTGGAGAGTTGGGCAGAGAGGAACCTGATGAAGTTCAACAAGGGCAAGTGCAGGGTCCTGCACCTGGGGGGGAACAACCCCATGCATCAGTACAGGCTTGGGGCCGACCTGCTGCAGAGCAGCTCTGCGGAGAGGGACCTGGGTGTCCTGGTGGGCGACAGGTTGACCATCAGCCAGCAGTGTGCCCTGGCTGCCAAGAAGGCCAATGGGATCCTGGGGTGCATTAAAAAGAGTATGGCCAGCAGGTGGAGGGAGGTTCTCCTCCCCCTCTACTAGGCCCTAGTGAAGGCCCATCTGGAGTACTGCGTCCTGGAGAGAGTCCAACAGAGTGCTACGAGGATGATTAGGACTAAATGCTTATAAATATCTTAAGGGTAGGTGTCAAGAGGATGGGGCAAGACTCTTTCCAGTGGTGCCCAGCAACAGGATAAGGGGCAATGGGCACAAACTGAAGCACAGGAAGTTCCGTCTGAACATGAGGACGAACTTCTTCCCTCTGAGGGTGACGGAGCACTGGAACAGGCTGCCCAGAGGGGTTGTAGAGTCTCCTTCTCTGGAGATATTCAAAACCTG